TGAACCATGTTGCCAGGTGTCCTCAGACTGCTTCTGTGAATAGCAAGGGGCTGTCAGGCCTAAAACTTCTGATTGTTGTCCTCGTGATTCATTGTTTTGGACAGGTGGGCCCTTTTTGCACGTGAGAAGTTTCTGGGAACTTGTCCACAGCACGCTGGCTGAACCACATCAAGGAGGCGCTATTTATAAGACGGACCTTGTTGGCAGGCCTCAGACTGAAGAAGTCTTTTTGATGAAAGACGAAACGTTTCTCCCAAAAATGATCTGTCCAGATGACGTGATTTAACCTTTTTTTTTTGTGATCCAAACATCTTGTTCTTACAATATTTTTATGTAAATTTCTCACGTTTATTCACTTCGCTTGTTCCTCTGTACACAAGCAGCACTGTCCAAATTATTTTTTTATTTATTTCCTTTAAGTGTGACTCTTTTAAAGGATGTTTATTTGCCTCCATCACATCCAGGAACCTTCCCTGTGGTCTTCCTCCTTTCAGCTCCACATTCATCATCATTTGTCCAAAATGTCCACTGTCCCTCCTCTGGACATGTCTGACCCATTCGTCTCCAAACTGCCCGACCGGAGCTCAGGTTTACTACAAAATCTTGAAAAGTATTTTTATTTCCCCCCTAACGTCAGGATAAGTGTGAAACAAAGGAAATGCAGATTATAGCTGAATATTATAATTATTATTATTATAGCTGAATGTTTTTTATTTAAACAGATTGTTCTCATAAAAATAATCTGAATGCTTATAAACTGCCTAGAAGTGCCTTTTTAGAAAATATATATGAGACGTGGGAACTCTGTTTTTACGGAGTTTTATTTTGTCGAGCCTCAGAATATCCTTGCAAACCTGTCACTGTTTCTAGAAAAGTCTTCATCCACACGGAAACACCAAAAACAGTGTGCCAGGCCCGTGTCACTGCAACAAAAACAAAAAGGAGCGCGCCTGTAAAAGGTAGTTCTGTATAAAATGTAAACGCATGAAGAAGACGACGATGTCCTCGGGTCAAAGGTCAGATCAGAGGCGGGCTATGACATCATTGTTTTCAACCGGTTGCATTTTGGCCGTCGGTAAAGACTGTACTTGAACAGACCTCTGATGTGGACCTGGGACTTGAAGTTGGACCAGCTGTCTCATGTAGCTGCAGGGACTTAAAGAAGGTCATGTGATGTCATGATTCAGAGTGGGCGGGACTTAAAGCCCACATCGCCAGTGACTGGTTTCATAAATATAACGTGGCGTCTTCTATAAACCTGTTCCCGCAGGCTTCGGCTGCTGACGGTGAGAGAAGGTGGGACAGTGGGCCTTCCAGAAAACTGTCTTAAGCTCCTTACAATAAAGATCTGGACATCTTCAGCTCACACATCAGAAACCTTCCCTGTCCCCCCCGCAGCTCTGTTCTGTCACAAGTCCCTCCTGACACTTGTCTCCACCCTCCACGTCTTCACCTCCCTCATGTTCTGCTTGTTGCCTTGGATGGTCAACCCCAGGTTCTTAACCTCATCCACCTTCAGTTCTCTGCTCCTCCAACCGTCTCCCTCTCACCCACGTATGGATTAATTCCTCGTCTCTCCAGAGCAGACCTTTACCTCTCTAAGCTCTATTCCACCTGCTCCCTACTCTCACTACAGATCACAGTGCACCCTGCAAACATCATAATCCACAGACTCTGGGATCCTGTTTAAGCTTTTGACCCACGTCACAACATTTCTGCTTCTGTTGATCTCCAACAGAACATTTCTTCATGGTTTCTGATTCCACCAGAACAGAAAGTGCAGCTTCTCTGGTTCTTGTTTCCAGTCTTTGCTGTGCTTGATGGATCCTCTCTTTCCAGCTTCTGACTGGAGAAGATGCCACGTAAGAAGGTGACGGACGTGTCGGGGAACGGCGGGGTGAAGAGGAAGAGGGCGAGCGGCAAGAGGAAAGACCGGGACTTCAGCAGCGACGAGGACTTTGACTTCGAGCAGGAGAATAACAAAAAACCCAGCAAGCCCGCCGCCAAGTCGGGCCTGCAGCCCGTCACCGTGGCGGACGACGTCAAGGAGAAAATAGTGGGTTTTCTCTTTTCTCTTTGTTTTGTCTTTGTGGTGACCTCCACTCGGTACGGCTGGAAAGAGTTCATGATGAGAAAAGTTTAAAACTAAAACTCTAGAAGGTCATTTGCTAAATTAAGTTTTTACTTGTTTACGATGAAGATGAGCAGTTTTTTCCTTTCGGGTCGTACAGAATATAGTTTGTTTATCTACTGTCGGATAAGAAAGAAACTGAACGTGTGTCAGGGTTTGCTTTAGACGTTTTACAAAAGTAAAAGATGCGTTGTGTTTATGTAGAGGTTCCCAACCCTGGTCCCTGAGGAACACCATCCTGCAGTTGTTTCCTGCTCCAACAAGCTTTATTCCTTGATTTAATAACTTCAAGTTCTGCAGAAGCCTGTTAATAACTCATTCATTCAATCAGGTGCGTCAAAGCAGGTAAACAAGTAAACATGCAGGACGGTGTTCCGCAAGGACCAGGGTTGGGATCCACTGGTTTAAGGAACTTATCGCTTCACGTCAGAAGTCAATCGTTTGTGCGTTCAAACCGTAATCTGTTAGTTTACGTTTTTCAGTTTTATTGTGACCCTTTTTGCAGAAACTCGAGTTACCAAAGGTCAAAGGTCAGCTGCTCATCTTTGGCGCAACTAACTGGGATTTGATTGGACGGAAGGAGGTGCCCAAACAACAAGGTACGCTATTTAACTGTCAATTTATGCTTTTTGTTTGTAAACATCACCCTCTGCAGGCAGGCGATGTCTTATCTGTGTTTATTGTCTCTCTGTTAGCAAAATATCTCATGATTATAGGGTTAAAATGTTAAAGAGTAAAGTCTGCGTGCATGAACGTGGTGGTTTGAGCCGTAATCTCCCAACGTCCAAACTGAACTTCATAACTGAAACTTTTTACTCGTCTGTTCGAGTCGAGGGACCCCGTGATTTGTTCAGGTGTTGTTGTTGTTTGTTTGTTTATTTGTTTGTCATATGCAGGTCAACACAAGGTCAACAGTACAATAAAATGTTCAGGATGAGAAGAACCGATTTGACTCGCTAAGAACAAAAACAAACAAACAGAAATACAATAAAAGTACAAAATAAAATACCAAAAAGTGAAACAGAAACATAATATTTACAAGGTCCAAGAGAAATATATCGTAGTAAACAACAACAACATGGTAGAATATAACAGTGCAAGTAGGATGATTAGTATAAATAAGTATTTCACAGGTGGTAATATTAATTTAAATGCACATGATACATGTTGCACATGACATAAACTGCACAGGTTGTGTGACAGGTTACTGTGTTGTGTAGATGTTAGACTTAAGAGTTTCTGATTTTTATTTTAAATAAATTGGTTCCCGACCCAGAAACTGATTGTTTTGTGCGTCCGTGTTTCGAGCAGTTTTTCCTGCGGTGAACGGATGAGACGCAGGAGCTGGTAGAACCAGACAGAATCAATAAAAGATCGATCAGATGTGTGTGTGTGTGTGTGTGGTGGATCAGTTGAGTGTGTGTCCACAGGCTACATGTGTCTTTGTTTGACATGTTCAGGCTACATACGTGTCGGAGCCGGCGGACCCCGTTAATTGATTGTGACAGAAATGTCTTTTCATATGCATGCTGTGCGCCCCCACCCCCGCAGGTGGCTCAGTGATGCCCGGGGCTGATAAATCTGCTGCTTTGTTGGGACTGGAGGGGGGGATTGGGGGGTGTCTGCACAGAGCAGCTGCAGAGACAAAGATCATGAGATGGGCGAGACGTCGGGCCCACCAGAACCGCACGTTCTGCCTTTGTGTTGGACTTGAATCAACTCCGGCGTGGAGTTGTAGAGCAACGTTTGTCTCAAATCAAAGACACAATTTATGGTCGTTTTAAACACCGGTGAGTTTCTGAACATTTCTGCATCAGCGAGCAGACTTTCTGACGATTAACGAAGCAGCTGCTTGCTGATGCAGAAATTAATGAATTAATTAATGATTAATGAATGCTCTCACTACCAGGAGACACAAAACCTCAAACTCTGAACTGGACCTTGTTTGTTTGTTTATCTTCAGCTCAGCCTGAGAACAGATTTTCAGACTGAAGTCAAACCAGCGGCACCATTAAAACCAGCAGCACGGCTCATTATTTGAGTTACAAACTGTATCTTTGAATAAAACGAACACGGCGCTCTGTGTTTCTGCCACTGGTTGCAGCAGGAAGTCGAGTGACGACTGCTTCCTGTTCCTGCTGCTCCGCCTCACGTCAGCTCCGTGTTTTATTCTCCGTTAAATGCTCCAATTGTCTCATTAACTCATAAATGTTCATCATGGCACCGATGTCAGAGACTCGTTGATGTCTGTGAAATCAGCTCCTGATGAAAGCTTCGCCTCTGCTTTAGAGCTGGAAACAGAACTGGAACCACTGGAACCACTTTGGTGTAAAAAATACAAACAAACCTGTTTATTTTAGAATCTGTTTGGATTCAGGTGAACCTGGTGGACTGGGCTCTGCAGAAACCAGTAGAGAGGCAGAATCATTTGGCGTCTATTGTTTAATGTTTTTATTTATGTTTCCAGCTGCTTTCCGTAACCTGGGTCAGAACCTGTGGGGTCCACACCGTTACGGCTGTCTGAACGACATCCAGGTGAGCTGCGTGGCGTCCGGTCCCTGCGCCGCTCACAGTCTCCTCATGACCACCGAGGGCAAGTTGTGGAGCTGGGGTAAGCTGCGCCGGGCGCTCCGCTAGATTTTAACGTACCGCCGGCGGGAAACCCCGAGAGTTTCCTCAAACTGTTAGCTAGAAGCTAAAAAAAGTTAGAAAAGTAAGTCTCGAAACACTAGGGAAAGTACGGTAATTAAAGGCTAGCTAAAGCTAATGTTAGCAGAAGAATAGTTAAAGGTATCAAAAAAGTAGCTAAAAGAAACAACATGGTGGCCAAAAGCTTAAAAAGCATAGCAGTAGCTAAAATAAGTCAACGGCTAGCTAAGGCCAAAAGAAACAAAATGCTAATTAAAAGTTATATGTTGCAAAATAAGCTAAAAGCTAACTGCTGTCTAAATTACCAAAGAGCTAGCTAAAATTTAAAGTGTTAAAATGTTAACTAAAACTATAAGTAATAAACCTCTAACAAAAACTTAAAAGTAGGTAAAATGCTAGCTAAGATATGCAAAAAAATAGCTAAAATAGGTCAACTTCTAGCTAAAAGCTATAACAAAATGCTAAGGAAAAACTACTGGTAATAGTAGCAAAACAAGCTAAAAATACGACGAGGCTAAAAGTATCATAAAGCTGGCTAAATGTTTAAAGTAGCACAAGGCTAGCTGATA